TGGCGCTGCACCACATAAAATAATTTCATAAAACACACACCCGAACATGCAATAAATAATTGCAGTTTGGGGCCACATGCCTGAAATTGTGTTATAATAATAATAATAATTATTATTATTATTATTATTAATAGTAGTAGTAGTAGTATTAAGTTAAGGAGTGATTAATCACCTGGAAACAAGAATTTGGGTTTTTCTTACCTAAGATTGAGCTCTGCTACTTTTGAATATATTACATTACTTGTAATCATTATAGGCTACATAGCTACAGTATTTGTGCTGATATGACATTACGACTTCAGTGTTATTCTTTTGTTGCACTACTGCTCATTACTTCTGCACATATGCACAATACACAATTCATATAAACTATTGTAGCGTATAGAGCTTCTTAATGTCATTTCTTTCGTACTTATCTTGCTCTATTTTTTATTTTTTTGCCGTTTTACTGTTTCTGCTGAATTTCTACTCTGGTTACTGTCATATTTCGGTCTTCTGTTTCTACAGTGCAGGTCTCACTCACCTGTCAGAGGCTGAACAGCTGATGTGAGGACACAGGATGGTGTGCAGGTGCAGCAGCTTTGCGTCTGTTGGGGGGGGGCTAATTTAGTGCCCAATATTTCTTAATAGTTGTATCCAACTATACTGCAGTTCTCCCAGCTTATTTTGGGAGACACCCGATATACTGAACAGGAAATCAATGTCTTTTCAATGTTACAACAAATTTAGCTTACAGTAAAATTACTTTCCCCATGGCAAATTGTTTTATTGTGAAGGTGAAATCTGTCGCCTTCCTGCCTCCTCTGAGCTTTTACTGCTGCCTTGACTCACTTGTTTTCTTTTGCTCCATGGCGTTGTTCAGTTTCTGACGCCCCCCATCTTAAACTAGGAGAAGTTACAGATATAAAAACGCAACAGGTGCTTGAGAAATCCATATTTTTATGTTTTGGCTGTTCTTGAAACACTGACAGCCCCATTCTTTGCATTTTTTTTTTATGAGAACAGTGGCTTGAATCTAAAATTCAATACAAATATAAAATACAAGTAGATGTTTGTTGGATGTAGATACAAGCCATGTCATGTGACTCGCAGCTCCAGATTTGTATGCAGTTAAAAACTGAGATTAAAGATTATGTGCATTACATTTTTATTTCTAAATGTTTCAAACATTTGAGAAATTCTGCTACTTTCATCAGCCTGTTTCATTTGTAGTCATCTACCTACAAAGACCTTTAACATCTAGTTTAGACATTGTGAGGTTAGAAGCCATGCCAATAGTGCAATGTGAGTACAATATGAATACAGTGGACTCTGACTACACAGGCATAACACTGACGTTAGAAATCTGATTATGTACACAAGTAAAACAGAAAATTAAACCACACTTAACCAATTTTATTAAACCAATTCATGTCTTATTTTAAATTAAAACTAAAACTTATGCACAGACAATTTAGAGTGACAGAAGCAGGTCATTTCACAGCCATGTAAAAATATTTGTTAGATGCATTTTAAATTCAAAGCAGACAGTTTTAAGACGGTGTAGGCTGAAAAGTGGTTTCTGTATGAATGTAGTTAACACTTCATGTCATCTATCGGGGAGAATGTGATGAGTTTTGGGAGGCTGTACTCTTGCTTCTTTGGAGGTGAAGAGGTCTCCAAAGTGTCTAGGTCCAGTGAGAAGACCTTGTCTGAGGCGTCCACTGCCTTTGCAGGCTCCATGAGCCAGTCTCGGTCCAATCTAGAAACCGCATGATCTGACAGGAGACACTTGGGTGTCCTATTCCTGCTTTCCATGAAAGAGCCGTCGTTGCACGCCTGCTGGATCTGACCCAGGTAGTGACGTGCGGTTATCAGCGGCGATTGCTTTGCCTCAGTCTTCAGAGAGGTGAGAAGGAGCTCGTCCTCGTCCTCGCTCTTTATATCGTCGTCGAGGCTCAGCAGGCTGTCACAGCTGGGCATTTCGGGGAGAGTTTCGTGGTCGAGGCTGAATTGGACCGCGCTGCTGCCCGTGCCACTCGGGCTGTCCATGGCCTCTGTGTTGAATGTGTCCCACAGCAGACTGGATTTGAGCAAGACCTCGTGCTGGCTCACAGGCGGGCTGCTGTGGCTCGTGACAGGAGGGGTGAGACCGCTGAAGACACTGAGGGAGGGAGCATCGGGGCTCAGCAACGTGTCGTCATTAAACTTGGCTGACTGTCCGATTTTCTCAACTTTGTCTTCCTCAAGTGCCTTACGCCAGGAGCTCTTCACATCCATAACTTTAAGAAAAAAGAAAAACACAATTTTACCAACTGAAAGATAAAAGGGTTATGGTTGCATGGTTCACCACCACAAGTTTTCCCAACCATCATAGAAGCTATGCTTTTATGCGGCCACAGACATCCTTTGACCGTTGTGCAACTGATTAGCTCATCCCTTCATGCTTTCCCCTTGACACGTTTAACAGAATTCAACCAAATTTAAGGTCGACGGCAAATGCAACAGATCGTGACTTACTCAAGCTCTCAGGCGTACGAGGCAGCTGCTTTCTAGTAGAGAAGGGATCTCTATGAAGAGTGCCGAGAATGCCCTCCAGGTCCAGGTCTTTGACCCTGCCCTCTGTGGGAGTGGTTGTAGTCACAGCATCTGCAAACTAACAAAAAATGTGTAATTGCTAAACTGCTGTATAGCAGTCATTGACACGTCCACTGGTCTGAAAGTTACTTATACCTGATCAGCAAGGTTATCACATTCCATGTCTAATATCTGAGTCTTGGTCCTCATGGGGGACATCGTCGGATGAACACGGGTAGTCTTCCTCACACTGGCCGTCTTCCTCACACTGGCCTAAAAACAAGCACAGATTGTTAAATACAGTGTATCAGAGGACCTGGTGCACACAGCAGTTTAATTTAAAACAAACGTTAACTGGAATATAATACTAGCCTGAGGTGGTGCTACTAATGGAGCCCTCACAGGAGGAGATGGAGGCGTATCGAAAAGCCAGTCTAGAGAGGTATTCGCTTGGGATGGTGCTTCATTGGTGACAACAGGAATTTGAGTCCTCTCAGCTGTTGCAGGGCAAGGGCTGTTCCAAACACAAAAAGCTTGATTTATTATTCAAAACCATGTTTGCTCTGAGTGACTGTCTGTGCACAGTAAAGTGCATCTTTGCCCCATCACATTTTCCTCACAACGCAATGCAGCTCAGGTACAGTGAAAGCAACACAACATCTTTATGTAGCTATTAACAGCCCTCTGTGGCCTTGGCTCAGTGCTAATCCCCGAGTCAAGTCGGCACATTGCCCTGGCACCTGTCTGCAATTCGATTGTTGCATAGATCAGGGTGAGTCGCATCAAAGTCAGGCTCTTATTTTGGTAGCTTACAATGTAACACGAGTAAAGCAGTAATTAAAATCCCCAGCTGCACAGCACCTCAGAGAGCGCAGCGTTATTTCTTGTGATGTGGCACAAGAGTTAAACCGCATTTCAGCTCAATTATGCTATGCTTCTATAATACTTTGCATAATTGAAGTCATATACAAATAAAAGAGTGTCTGCTCCGTATCTGTCCGTGGCGATTTCTCTCAATTCGCCTCGGTCATCAGAGAGCATGGATGCTTTAGGGAGGGCTAGTGTCGGACAGAGCACTGCTCGGGACTGCCCAGGTATCTGCCTCCCATCAGAAGCCAATACACCAAGTAATACAGAAAAAATAAAATAAAAATAGAATCGTCACCATTAGATTACATTACCTCTTCTTTAGGTTAGAATAACGAGGATGGGCACCTTCCTGTGATTTACCCTCTGAAGGCTTCTCCTCTGAAAATGTGTAAGCATGATTAAAAACAGTGTTGTAACAAATCCAAATGAATACATGGCCTACTATGTATGTCAGATTCTGCTCACCAGGAAGCGTAGCAGGGTACTGAGAGAAGACACTACTTCTGTAACTGGTGTCCGCTGCTGGTTCAAAGGACAATGGAGCCATTGGTGAGAGGAAGCCAAGAGCCTAAAAATAAAAAGTTAAATCTTACCTCAAGATATGAAACTACTGTCAAATGCCTTTTGAGTTGCCAAACATTGTGGCACTGCAATTGCCACCTGAATGGACAGCGAGAGACAGCATAATGTGTCCCGTCTTGTTCCCCTTATAAAACACACCGACTTTAGCGAGCCTAGGACTAAACAAGTTTAAAAACAAAAACAAGGATGACTCACAGGATCTTCATTCAGAAAAAAGACTAGGGGTGTGTCCTTCAGAGTATCCATCCACTTCCTGTCCCACTCAGTCTCCAACTCTCTGATGGCACTCCTGACCTCAGGAATTCCTTCCTTGGAAATCTTCTGTCTGGGGAGGGGGAAAGAAAAGGTTGGGGGGGGGGGGGGGGGAAGAAAAGGTTAGTACACTGGTACTCAAGCTATACAACTTATTCTTAGATCATTCTTTACCTATGATTACAAATGTAATCATTCAGAGTTCAAACCCCAAATAGTTACAGGGTAAGAGATTCAGGTTTCTGTGAGTTTCAACCTGTTAACTTGACACATTTCCAGGCCTTAAATGTAGACTTTAAAGAGACCCTGCAGATACAGATATCCACCTTGGTAAACTAAAAATGAAGCTGAGATTTTGCAAAATCGTAAAATCCCTTCTAGTAAGAAAGCAATACTATTGCACCATGTCAGGTAGTTTGGAGAGAGTGCACCTGTCTATGAAGCGATGCTGGTCGATGTATACCTGATGAGGTGGAGGTTCTGCAGCACACGGGCCATCTGTTGACATTTCTCCTGCAGGTGCTTAGGACTGAGCTGGGGTTTAGGGGCATGAGCGACCCGACAACACTCCTCCCTCAGGAGTTGCAGCGCGTGGTTCATCAGCTCCAACACACAGAGGAGGTTCAGCTGGCCCGCCTCATACACATTCCCTGAGCTCAACTGGAAGACAAGGACAATTAAAAACAATCAGTGCTTGGACTGAAAATGGTTTCTCCTGTAGCCACGTCACACATGATGAGTTTCAGAATTTAGGTCCAATGGTGATGTGCTTGCATCGCAAATGTGAAGATTTGAGAGTGTGAGAAAGAAAGAAAAAAAAAAACCATTGTGCGAACAAATCGTTTGTGTCTCACAGCCTGAGGTAACAGTGAAATGAGAAGTGAAAATGAAACTATAAACTCAAGAACCAAATAAGAGAACCGTATCTGAACAGGTCCTGAGTGATATACTGAACTGACCCATTATCGTCACCCTAACCTGATGTGGGAGCTGTTCAACTCTCTCCAGCAGACACCGGGGAATTTTGAGGGCTCGATCCGTGCCGTCCAGGATGTACTGGTCTACATCCCCTTTCAAAACACTTTCCACTGCATGCTGCTCCTCTTTGGTAGTTGACAGCATTCCATCAATGGCCGACCACAAGGAGCGCACCTTAAGACAACCAAATACTTATGTGAGCTCTTATAAATAAACACATCTCAGTACAGAACAGCTTATTTCCAAGACTCATCTTGATTTTAGATTTTAGCCTCCACCATACTCGTGGCAAACTGCCATGGTATAAACGCCATGATTTACAAAGGCAGGAAGCTTGCTACCAGCACTGTTATGTCTAATTAGAACATGGGGAGTACAAAACACTACACACAACATTACGTACCCGTTTGGTCTTCTCTGCCGGAGAAGCTCCCTCCTGTGCAGAATCACTGCTGCGACGCCTGAAAGTAGACAGTCCTGTTTGTTCAATCAGTACAGGAACATTAAAGCCAGACGTACTGAGAAAAACAGCCATACATACTTGAGTAGCTCGTCATACTTGGCACCCTCTGCTCTGACGTCCCTTACCGACTTCACCAGGAGCCTTCGATAAAGAAGAAAAACTAAAATATAAAAATAACAAACAAGCACTTCCACAGCAAGTTAATGCTTTTAAAACCCCAGACAGGCATGTCACAGCAAGAGAAGCACACATGTAAATCGATCAAATTACAAGTAACTGTCTTCTATTCAGGTAAGCTAGTCCAGGGTCCTGCTATTGTGTGTGCGTGCTGGCTCGCTGGCTCACTGGCACGGCTTACTGGGACACTTGCTTATACAGAGCCACCATTAACACAATTTGTTTCACCTGTGCTTTTGGCTGCTAAGGCAATTCGAGGTGTCTGAAAAAGGGGACACTGATTGCGAACACCTCCAGCAGCGACCAGCTGGCCTCGTTATCTCTGGGTTTACCAATTAGTTCACAGGAAACAGGTGTGGCTCGAAACCAACAGCCAATAAAGCGTGCAGCATCAGGGACAGCGACATTAGGTTGAAACAGAAGTACCTGACAAGAATTAGCTCGCTGCAGTGATAGACAATAATACACAGCAAGGTAAAACACAACCACACAATACGAATAGAAGAAGCAATGGAAATAATACAATGACCACATACTAAAAGTAACAGGCCATAAAGCTAATACGTTTTGAATTTAAATTAGCCTTTTCATTTTCAACATGTTAAGTAGTCTCAAGTGAGTACGAAAAATTGACCCCTCTTGGATCAATTAGGTATTATTTTAAATGGCAACTGCTCTTAGGTCTCTGGATGAACAAACTATTATACTAATTACACATAGGCAATACACAACATATCTCACATTAACACTGTTGCTACATTGGAATCTAGAAAAGAGTAATAAATGAAAATCACATTTTCATTTCACTTGAATTTCATATAATTGTTTTATTTACAACTGATAAAACTAGATTTGTTATTTTATGTTGTTATTACTAAACGTTACAGCACATATTTCATTTTTATTAATGCCACACATAAACAAGTCAGAGAAATTTGATTTCAGTGCCATAACCTGAGGTGCCAGGTGGTATCTCAATCATAGTTACTGTAGTAGTGAAGTACAAGGCTTCTATCTACAACCTGTTTCTACTGATGTAAACATCTAGCTCTGTCCAGCTGCAAAGATGGACTACCAAGGACTTACTGGGCTCGTCTCTGGTACTCGTGAAGAAAGCGATCTTGATCCACTGCAGCTTTCAAAAACCTGCTATTGATCAGGCCGAGTCTCATCACTGCCATGTCCAGGGAGGAAGCAGGCATCGCTGCAGCTTCAGGAACCCAGCTGTCATCTGAAAATAACAATATTCAAGATTATTCGATAGTCTTTTGCATGCCAACTGCATGACAAATTAAACAGTATGAAGTGAAACAACGCCTGACCGTTTTTTGTGTCACTCTGCACTTTTTGAACTGAAGTCAGACTGTGAACACAAGCTACTGGTAATGAAGGAAAAGGTCGACCTACCTGTGGTGAATGTCTTCATCTCCTGTAGCATGATGTGATTGGCCAAATTAAGCATCAAGTTGACAAACTTGGGGCCTCCAGGTGAGAGGAACAAGGATGCCACCACTTTGGATCCTGCATTCCCGTTTTCATCCTACACAAATTAAAAACAGTTGATTCAAGTATGCAAAACACTGAAGAGGACAGAAAACTGCATTTGTAGATTGAAATATATTTTCTTTATAGTTTAGACACAGATGCAGAGAGAGTGGGATGCCATGCAACTAAGAGACAGCACCAGGAGTAGAGGAGACTTTACAAATGAAAATAAAGCTAGAAGAAATTAGGCAACATAGGAAGAAAAGATGGACACTATGTCCGTATTTGGGAGGGCATACCTGGGGTGTATAATCTGTGAAAGACCCTTTTTTTAGACTGAAAGAGGATGAACATAAGAGCATTATCTTACCATTATTTCTCTCAGCCAAGCGCAGGTAACTTTGCGGAACTCAGCATCTGCTTTGTGGTTCAGAACAGGCCAGCAGTATCTAACCCGAGACAAACACACATATATAACATCATTTGTACACAGTGAATCCTGGGAACCAACAGCTACTTCTATACACAGTGGGTCATTTTACCTGTATGCCTCACTGAACCGTGCCGGGTTGAGTCTCTCCAACAGGAAATGGGTCACTATGTAGAAGGCATCTTTGTTTGGTTTGTCGAACATATTCCTATTGGCCGTAAACATTTAACACAGTTACAGTAAAGACTACAGTGAATGACAACCTGAATGTAACTTCAACACTACAAAGGACAAACACTTGGGCAAGGCTTATTAAGTTATATGAGGTTAATGCATGTTCTCCACAATAAAAGCAGACTCACGGTCCCAGGTTGATGTGTTTAATGTTAATGTTGGTTTTTCCGGCGATTGACTGCATTGCGGCGTCTGGTTGAAATCCAAGCCCGAGGAGAGCAAACCACAGATATTTCCCATTCTTTCTCTGCAACAATGCCGGATTCGCCATTATTCCGAGTTGTTCAGAAAGCACTGTGTCCGGAGGCGACCGGCTTTATATTACACAGCTAGCAGGCTAGCTCTAGCTGCTCGCTCCAAAGTTTACAGCTGGCTAACTTAGCTCTTGTTTTCTGTTCGTCAACACACATTTAACCCGCTGTTACTGAACTTAACAAGCACTACTGCCGAGGAACAGTTACCAGAGATCCACGGTATCCAGTTACGTTACGTTTGAGTTCATGTTTGTCAAATTAAATTTCCCCTTATTTTAGTCAGGAACACGAAAACGCAACAGCAACAACGAGTACCGCCAATTTCTTTCAATGACCACCCGGAAGATGTTAACAAGTAGTTCCGGTGAGTCCACGGTGCATTTCAAACGTGCTCTTATTGTTATTATTAACCCTAACCCTAATTATTGTTACTAGCTGTATTTGTTGTATTTTCACCAAATATAACTACTGTGGTTTTATGCGAGGACATCCTGACACTCACTTAGACTCGATGTCGGACAAGGCGAGCTGGTTTTACAGTATCCCACAAAGAAAGTTAAAGTATTTCAGACCTAATATAACTAGTTAATTATTGGGAGACGACTGTTACCGAGCTCAGAAAAATTATTGCATTGTATTTATTGTACATAGAATAAGTAGTCCACAGGTTATACAGTAGTAGTCAATTAATTGAAGACTTTATGTCTAAGTCTCCACAGTTGTTTTTTCCCCAGGTACATTTGCATTACACTTGATCTGTAATAAAATACTATACTGAGGTATTCTTTCCCCAAGTGTAAATATTAAACATGTGGAATGATAGACAGATTTAAGTTGACACAGTGTATTAATATTTCAGACACATTTATGAGCCAATATTACATGCATTCACCCAACATTTACCCAACAAATTAGTCAAGGGGCTTTGGAAAGGCACTGCAGTAATAAAAACACAGGCTAAGCATATGCAGAGATTTCATTTGTCCTTTTTTATTGCAGAACATACAATTATTTAAGTCTCCACCACAACTGATTAAGCAGAACGGAGTAATAGTAAGAAACAAGTGCTCTTTTTTTTCTAATCATTCACATCATTGTAGTTCTTTTAAAACCAGCTGGCAACACTCAGCCACCTTCGATGGATCAGACACTGATGAGTACTTGGAAATCTGAGAGTTGACCCCCAGGGAGCGAGCCAGGTCCTGGGCTGTCTGGTCTGAAGCCACAGTGGTTCCCAAGGCCACTAGCAGCCTAAACACGGCCTCCTTGTCTTGTACCGTCTCGAGAGCTCTACTGGCCACAGACAGGCACTGGGCCTTAGCCTCGAGATCGGGCTGGCTGTGCAGGCAGCCAGCGTAGTTAAGCACCAAGGTGGCCAGGGCAATGTGGATGTTCTTATTGCAGACGGTGGCCAGGTCGGCAGCACGTGATAGCACCGTTTCACGCTGGGCCAGGAGGAGGGCTCGGCCGTGCCTGCCACTAAAGCAGTTACACAGAGTCCGCAGCGCCAGCATCTGGTTGGCAGGACGCCCCTCGGGCCTCATCAGGCTCAGCAGGTGGTTGCACAGCTGGACTCCCTCTGCCTCTCCACAGAGGCTCTCATTCACCAGTGGGTGGCGCACTGCCAGCCTCATAATGTCCAGGACAGGAAACACAATATCTAGAGTCCAGGGGGGAAGGAAAGGGAAGTGAGTGAACTGAAGATCCTTAAAATCATATTAATGTGTCTGTTTTTCTCATAAATTGGGTTGGAAGTTGTACCTTCAGGCCAGTGAGAGGCCTTCCAGAGCAGGTTGACCTGTTGGATGGTTGGGGGAGGCTTGGGGGTGGTGGCCTCAGAGACAGACACCAGCAGCCTCTCAAGGCTTTCCAGAATTTCTTCGGAAAGCTTGTGCTCTTGAGGGGCCCCTCCATTCAGCTCCTTCAGCTTGGCTGGTGAGGAAAGAACAAATCAGGAAGGGAGGACACATCACAGTAACAGAAAAAAAAAAAACTCTAGCTATAATTTATATGTTTTTGAGTTTAACACTGGCTTTTTGATGAATTATGAATCTTCACATAGTTGAAAGTGATAACCTGTTCCTGGCTTTATGTAGAACTGTATAGGCACATCATCAAATCCATACTCACCAATGATCTGCGGGACACTGGCTTGCTCAAAGGTCACACCATCCGTCTTGGGGAAGTAGATGTTGGTTGCCGTCTGTCTGAGGGCTGCTGAGGAGTAAGCACCTCCTCCTGCAGAGTACAGAGGGGTATAAACCAATCAGTGTAACATTAAAGGATTCAAAACAAAACACAAGTGCCTTGCACCATGTTTACGTGGGTCTCCCACTGACCAGCTGTCACACATGAATCGTAAGTAACTCACCTGTGAAGGGATCTGCCACACCTACAGGAGCACTTGGGTTTGGACCCGACCCTGGGATGTAGCGACCGGAGCCTTTAGGGAGAAGAAACAGCTGTGAAAAGAACATCTCTGATGATGTTCAGATTGAGAAGAATCTTTAAGTAAACATGCTGTACCTGTGAAGGGATCAGCTCCAAAGCCTGGCCCATCAGAAGCCCCGGGGATGTACCGAGCTCCACCTGTCGGGTCGAGAGAAGAACCACGTTTTAAGAAAATATTAATTATGTCTAATGGCCTTTAAATACCGTAAATGTACAGTATATAAGCACAAGAAAAGTGGAAAAACAAGCCCAAGTATTTATCTTTTGGCCTCACCGGTGAATGGGTCACCACCAGCAGGCTGGGCTGGTCCCACCACATGTCCTTTGGTGTTCTCTATTATAAAATTGGCAACCTGGTCGAGGAACATGGGGCTGAGGTCGTTCTTCTGCAAGAAGTTGTGCGCAGTCAACCAGGGGTCCTCTGCCACATTGTAAGGCAGTTTCATGGACGGCCCCCCCTCATTCACGTCAATGGTGAAGACGTAGTCGTATTCCTGAGGGGAGATCAGGAGGCATCAGTGACTGTTCTCGTGTGTGTGTGTGTGTATAGTTTGTCCTGTCAGTAAGCTCATAGTCTTACCTTTCCTTCATACATCACGCTCTTGGAGGTCTGTTCGTTTGAGCCTCCGACCACATCTCCGATCTTCATCCAGCGGCCATCACTGACACTCCACTGATATGCCTCCACCTTCTGTCCATCTTTAATCAGCCGCGTCTGTCCGTCACGATTCCCTGTAGGAAATAAGCCAACAGAACCATCTTGATGCAGAAACAGCATTGGTACTTCTTCAGTTGTTGTCAGACTGAATTGTGCATTATTGGATGTCTAACACCAGATACAATGATAATTCATATGATAAATAAATAAATGTCAAGTCTATTTTCTTACCAGGCTCATTAAGGTGCTCTCTTCCAGGAAGGTCCTCTATTTTGATGTCTCCAAGGTCGCCTGTCTTAGGGTCTATGGTGGTTTTGGAGAGTTCATCCTCAAAAGCCTGCAGGTCCTCTGCGCTCGCCATGCGGTCCTCAGCCTCCGTAAACACGCGGATAATGCCATCGCTGTGGGCAGAGGGGCGCCATACGGGTTAGCCACAAAACTACGTACTGTGTCTGTTCATCTCCATCATCTCGTGTGAACGCAGGAGGGATGTCAGAAACGGAAGCAGTGAACAGTAGTCGGTTATATGGTGTAACATTATCGAGGGAATGACTTACGAAATTACCGCACATTAGCATGCAAAATGCAGTTCCGTTACCTGGCTCCAATGGCTATATCACCATTAGGCAGAATACAGCAGCACCAGACAGACTGGGCAGGCAGGCGGATGGTCTGAGTGCACTCTCCCTGCTTCCATATCCTCAAGGTCCTGTCCTCTCCTGTGCTTATGAAATCTAAGAAGAAAAGCATCAGACTGAGGTCAGGGTGAGCCAGCTACCATTTACAGCAGGGAAACAAATGGACGCTGGTTCAATAAATGGCCGGGCACCAGTCGTTGGTTACCCTCTTTCGCTTACACTCTTTCATAGGCATTTAAATATTAATATAAATGAACAAACCTTGGCTATTAGGGAAGACAGCCACGCTGTAGATGTAGTTGGTGTGGCTGTAATAGACTTGTACACATTCGCCTGTTACCAGCCACCTTCTGATACTAGTGTCATTACTGCAAGAGAAGAACTCAGTGTTGCTGATCACTGCTAGACCCCGTACACAGTCCTCATGGCCTACAATGGAAGAAAAAAAAGGGTTTTGTTGTTATCGTTAAAGCCAGTTATAAATTTAAAAGGTTTGAAAGTGAACTGCTTACAAAGACCAGATATGCAAACAGAGGTCATTTTGAAACGGTTCAAACACAAAAAGATGGTATTCACTTACGTCAACCACCTGCAAACTCTCACCTGTAAACGTCTTCTCACACCGGCCAGCTTTCCAAAGCTTGATGGTCTTATCCGCTGATCCAGAGAGCATAAGACCTTGTTCGGGTAAGATGACCACTGCCCACACAGCTGCAGAGTGGCCCTGTAGCAAAGTTAACAAGCACTGCAGTCATACGTTTGATTGTTACAGTCAGTGTCAGAGAAGCAAACCTGGACTAACTGTTTCTTCAGGCAACCCCTCCTAACAGGGCATATGTGTAATCTGTAGCCTTACAGAAACTACAGCGTACCTCCAAAGTCATCATGCACTTCTCATTGAGCCAGACTTTGGCGGTGGTGTCCCAGGAGCCGCTCAAAAGTGTCCCAAACTTCCCAGAAGACAGAGTGCAAACTGCGGAGATGAAGCACCGGAATGAGATAAACTGTTGATATTATGGCAAACGAGATGTCTATTAGGATGTAATTACCCTGGGAGTGCACAGTGAAGCACAACTCACCTGTATTTTTGTGACCCTTGAGGATGAATAGGGGCTGAGGTCGGTCCATTGTGAAAACACAAATGTTATTATCATTTCCACCTGTGGCGATAAGTCCTCGGGGATATGTGTCACTGGGCGCAATGATGCATACGCAGGATACAAAATTTGAGTGGCCAGACATACAATGCATCTCTGTGAAGCCTCGGTCTGGGCTGTCAACAGGAGGGGAAAGACAGCAAAGACACAATAAGCGAACAGAGTTACTTCTGAGGGAACAAGTGGTTGACAATTGCGAGACGGGTCGGTACGTTTAAGTAACAGCTAAAACACACGGCAGCGCTTTAAAGCTGGTGGACCTTCGCATGTACTCGGACATTGAGCAGGAGAATGAATGACAAAGCTAATTTGAGTACACGTTAGCAATGCGCTCAAGAGCTAACATGAGCTAGCAACGTTAACGCGGGTTGTCACTAGTAACTGACTTCAGTGGGGGCTGTTAGTCGGCCTGATACTGGGTTTGGTCAGGGCCCGTTTCCCGACCAGAGTGTAACTTTAAAACTGAAGCAAATCGTAGCCAGCCATCACAATGAGTTAGTCAGTAGCAGGCTAATGCTAGCTACCTTGAGTTTGGTACCCAGACTCTTCCGGTTCGGTCTCTGGACACAGATACGAAAGCTCCCTCTGGGAAAACAGCAGATGCGAGTCCTCTAACGTCCATTTCGTGGCCCGGGATGGAGCACCTGAGTTTGTATGAGTTAGATGATGCCATTTTGCCCCGAAAAGACAATGAAACTAACACACAGAAGAGGATATGCTAAGCGGCGTTGCTGTCAACAAACACCGGCCGCTAATGCTAGCGGAAGTTGAATTACGTCACGGACGTCGCCATTCAAATGAATGTCATTTCATTTATTTACAATTAAATACAAGTAGTGGTGAGCTTGAAGCTCTACTATAGGGTAAGTTTAATACAATTTAAAAAATGACAAATATGAACGAAACAGGAGAGAGGCTCAGATTGTGGCAGCGGCGGTTTGCAGTAGCACTTCCGGCCGGCACATGTAGTGTCCACGTTTCACCGGCAGGCGGCGGCAGACTGGTTTCTCTTGTCGATGGTGCACTGCGCTCCAACCGCCCACCTGTCCCCAACGGCTGCGTCAAGCTACCGTTAACGCACAGGCTACAACAGGAAACTGTAATGTTGTCATTCAAATAAAAGCCTAAACGTTGACTACGTCAAAGACGGGTACGGTTAAATTCCAGCATTCATCAGCTCCCACCAAAAGAGTAAAATAAAATACATTTATTGGACATATGTAGAAGTCTAGTAGCAAAACCTCACGCTTACATGTGACCCTTAAAAAATATTGGTTGTTAACTAACGATTACATGAAGTGTCATGAACAGATATTTTGTTTGTTTAAATTAATCGATTATCATTCTTGCTGCTGGTTAATTTTCTGTTAACTGACTAATCCTTTATAGTTTGTTTTTGGTTGTTTATTTAGTATAAAAGAAATGAAAACACCTTCAGAAATACTTCTGTGTAAATGTGTGTTTTTTACATTACAATTTTGTCAAAAAATGTGTTTTATTTTTTACAACAACCGACCGGAAGTGCGTTTTTTCTCGCAGGTATCAGAGCAGTCTCCTGTCCAGCCCACAGAGGCTCGGATGAGGAAGTAGCTACGTGCGCTGAATAGGACCAGCCACATAAAAGTATGTATCTCTCCATTTTAACGTAGGAAATCATGACTGGCGCTTAACACGTTGAATGATTTAATTTGTAAATGAGCCCGAGTGAATTAAATAAGGACAACCCGCTGGTGGTAGCTACCACAGTAAGGCTACAGAGCCAAGCCCATCGCGGCTGCCAGTCTTATCAGTTGTATGAAGGATGGAGCAAGCGAGCTTTTGCAATAACAAGCCTCTGAGTACAGACCAGCAGGGCCAGGAGGGCTGTTTATGATGGTCTGGGCTGTGTTGGTGGTGCTAGTGTTAAGCGTCTGTGTTAAGGTGTAAGGTAGTTACTGGCTTGTTTACAGACACCTGCTTTATAGCACAGTAGTTAGGCCTGTATTGAGCTTTCATCTCATTACCCATTAAATAAAACATGACCTAATATGCAGATAATGGCATCTCAGTCGTACTATTATGCTGTGGGTCTGTATATATTGACTGTTACTGTCATATAACACCATTAAGGCAAAATGTCACAGTTTTGATATGGATTATTTACTTGAAACAGAACTGGGCTTGTGTAAAGAAAGGATTTAGCAACCAGGGTGAAACGTGTATTTCAAGTGTAGTGTGTTAGCCAGTTTCGGTCTGTAACCTGGATCAGCTGGAGATTTACATCTGCGTGTGTGTGTGCTTTGTGCGCTGTAGGGTTCCCCTGGAGTCCCAGCAGCCATGAAGCTTCGACTGCACTTTGTGGTGGACCCCATGGGCTGGCTGTGCATCAGCATGGTGTTTGGAATCTGGCTCTATAACACTTTCTTTATTCCTAAACTGGTCCTACTTCCACACTACAACGAGGGACACATCCCCTGGGCCATAGTTGTTTGTGAGTATTCTTCTTCTATCTCCACTGTAATTTCTTTGTTGACACACACAAGTCATTGGGCTCTCTGGCTCGGCCCCCGGTGTTTGGCTCCCACACTTTAGGTAGAATTAAACGTCTTGTATTCTTTCAGGTTATTACATAGCATCGGCACTCTGCGTAGCGGCCCTTTTCCGAGCTTCCACAGCAGATCCCGGGCGTCTTCCTGTGGACCCCCACATACCTCACGCAGGTATGGATACGGAAAAGCCCACCTCACTATTGTGACTTTTTACCACTTCTTCTTCTACATGTTTAACGGTTTATCCATAAATCTTTAGATGGTCAGTATAGCAGTTTCACTTCCCACATTTCTTTTCTCATTTTACATACTTGCACCACATTTGCTGCAGTTAGGAAAATCATATATGAGGTCATCAGCTAAAATACTTCTCACTCTGTATGTAGCTCAAAGAGCGAGTATGTAGCCTTGAGTATGTAATTACTGTGTCACAATGACAGCTACCAATATTACCAGTGATAACCAATAATTAACTGCTGATTGTTGGTTTTATGTCACAGAGCGAGAGCACTGGGAGTTGTGCAATAAGTGCAACTTAATGAGACCTAAAAGGTCCCACCATTGCAGTCGTTGTGGCCATTGTGTACGTAGAATGGACCACCACTGTCCTTGGTAAGAACACACACACACACACACACACACTCATGAAGACCTGACCATACATATCAGACACATATAGCTTAAAAAACAGTGTTGAAAAATGGGAAATTAACACATTTACACAGCCAATGGTATGCTTGTATGAAATGGCAGTGGTACAGTATGTAAAGCTTATCATGTAGTATTACTGCAAAGTCAAGAGACATTGTTCAGAACCACACACACGTTTGCCAGACACATGTTGACCTGCATTCTATTGAATGAAGAATGAATTTACTTATTATAAATGTATAAATATATTTTAATTGGTATAATAGAAAGATATGTGCACACAACACTATCTGCAGCTTCAGTCCAAGACTGATATAAAGAAAAACAATTATAAGATAATATCTTAAATCCTGTGTTGTTTCTTTTTCCTTCCAGGATCAATAACTGTGTGGGAGAAGACAACCACTGGCTCTTCCTGCAGCTCTGTTTCTACACTCAGGTCCTCAGTTTGTTCACTCTGGTGCTGGACTTCTGCCAATACTACTACTTCCAGCCTCTGACAGGACTCGACCAGGTACATTCTAGAGGAATATAAGTAAATGATATACTCAGTCAACAGAAAACATGTTTTTAGAGCTTACAGAATACATTTGATACATGCATGTGTTTGGACTACAAGTATTTACACTGTATTTTTTTACCTATCTTAAAGCGTTATGTAACAATTCAGTGCTAAATGCTTTGTTACATCCTGTAAGACCGAGCTACGGCACTGGTAGAACATAAAAGCTACTTAATTATGTAAAGTCATCACATAGAGATTTAAGATGGTAAAATAAGAGGATTTTACACCAATGGGTTACTGTTCTGTTTTCTTCTACCAGGAGAAGTTTACAACACGCCATGAACTAGCTCTGCTGCGGGTCTCAGCGCTCATGGGTTTGGTCATGTTTGGTGGCATGACTAGCTTGTTTTACACTCAGATGGCAGGCATCCTCTCTGTGAGTACTGACGGGAAGACTTATCTTGTTTCAAATGACATTTACTGCTGCAATTATGTTAATGTGATTGTCTTCTGTCAACAGAATGCAGCAAATATTTCCAAGCTACTGTCACTGTTTAGGGTCTTTTAAATAAGCATGGTGGTACTTATTTCCAGTATTATTTAGCTTGTTTGTCCCGTTCTGTATTTTTTACAAACGATCTAGCAAGCACCGCATGAGGCTTCAGACAGGATGACATGACACAGTGCACAAAAATAAAACAATCAATGCCAGTAATGCAGTGATCAATAGAAAAGAAACAAGAGAGAAAGTCCTGGGTCAGGCTGTGTGCGTGCGTGAGTGTGTATGCATGAGTTGCATTCTTAATATCTTTGGTGACATAACGGAATCATTTTTATTACAAACCAAAGTCATTTACAAGCTTTCATCAGGAACTTTGGCAGAGCTGTTATGTTAGAAACGTCTAAACTTAGAGGTGGGAAACAGCAAGATGGTATTTAGAGAAAGGTTTTCTGTGGCTGGAGCTGTCTACGGGAGCAATAGATGACTCACAATAATGAGAAACAGATTTATGATGCTTATGTTTTTGGCTGATCATTTGACTCTATAATCAAGGGCATCATGATCCACTCATTGTATGCATTGTCTTTTCTCCTTTCTCACCCTCGTAGGATACTACAACTATTGAGAAAATGGCTACGTTCTCAAATGAAATGTGAGTCTGTCTAACTCTGTCCGTCCTAATGCCAGAAATTGTTTGCTGTTGCATGAAAGAAATTGGTGGACATTGTGGGAAATACACTTATTGCCTTCCCGCTGCAAGTTGCAACTACGCTCACAGCTGTCCATTCACTGTGAAGCTGGAGCCACTTTAGCTTAGCATAAGGAGTGGAAATAGGGGGAAATAGTTAGCCTGGCTGTATCCAAAAGGTAATAAAATACATCTGCCACCTCTCACTAAAAACATGTTATATCTAGTTGGTATAATCCATAAAAAAAAATCACACAAAAAAGCACAAAAATGACTATTTGTGGTTTTATAGTGTTGTGTGCTGGACTGTTTATTAGCTGGGCACAGTGTTTTGTTATCACTGTGAAGTTGTCGGGCAACCTACGGAGACTCCAAGAAAGAATATGATGTGTGCTTGTAGGTTGATTTTGCTACTTCTGGACAAAGCACTGCTAGCTGTTTCCTTGTTTGCACTCTTTATGCTAAGCTAAGCTAATCGGCCGCTAACTCCAGCTACATCTGGAGCTTCATATTGAAAAAATGAAAATGGTATCCGTCTTCATTCTTCTTCAGTCAATACACATGTTTCCCAAAATGTTAAACCATTTCTTTAAAATGGTCTCATAATACAAGTGTGTTTTTTTTTCTTCTTCTCAGATTTGGCTCTAACAGATCCTGGCAGTGGGCGTTAGCTGAAGTTTGTGGCACTCGCTGGAAACTACTGTGGCTCATCCCGCTCCGAAGCAGGCAGCCAATCCAAGCCAGCCACCACTTCCGCACCCACGTGTAGGCCGGGAGCACTACAGTACCTCCTACCTGCACAGATGGTAGGGTTGCCATGATGAAACACTAGTATACACACTTAAGAATCCATCTGCTCGCCTTCAACATCCTCTTTTGTGCTTTTGGAACTGGGCAGAAGTCTTGGTTTGTCAGTGGATACTCTAAGCTGTTTTTTTTTTGTTTTTTTTTTGGTCTTTTTTTTGCGCCTTTCTCCACAAGACCCAGACTGGCAGTAAACAGGGTCAAGGAACACCTAAGGGAGTAACAGGAAAATGTGGCTTTTTTACTCACTGTGACTGCTACTTTCAACATTTGGAAACCACTTTAAATGGCTAATTGCATCAGAAGGATGTAAGGCTTCGCTTGAAAGCAGCTGGCGAAAGGGACCCCTCTCAGGTTACTTTAATAAAGAGCCTTCACTACTGACCTTTAATCAACTACAGACAGAACTAGGGTAACTCCAGTGTGTCTATTAGAAAGGCAATTTTTTGTATAAAGTTTGTGCCTTGTTTCTTTTAACTGTGTCCTTTTTTATTTGTCATGCATGAGCAGTGTTTTTGTTTTATGTTTTCTGGTTGGTGATCTCTGGAAATTTCTTGTGAATAGTGAAGGGATGTGGGGTCAACTTCACTCATGTAAGTGGTGATCATTTAATGATTCATGAATGTTTTAGTGCATTGTTTTATCTATGAAGTGATATTTTATGAAGCATGGTCACAGAACAGAGGTCATATCTTGACTACTGATATGGTATATTTTTATGGCAAAAAGCCAGCCGGGTATGAAGATGTGTTATAGCAGTCAGACAGTTAATACTCCACCACGCCATAGTAAAAGTCGAAAATTAGAAGCAAGTTTATACTATCAATCTTAGGCTGTATATCTTGTATTCAAACCTGCTGTATAATCAAGTGGTTTCTCTGAGTATAAAAAAACATTCCACAGCCAATTTATATCATGACCTGATCACAACCTGTTGTGAAGTATGTTTTGTTCTGTATGTATGTTAGGTTCTAGTGTCACATATTGTCACCCAAAATCACCCTGTATATCTTAAAAGAATAGCTTGTCATTTTGTGAGATACACTTTTTCGCTTTAGTCAGATGAGAAGATCGATACCAATCTCATGTCTCTACACTAAATATGAAGCTACAGCTAGCAAGTGCTTAGCTTAGCTTAGCATAAAGACACAACCTGTAAAACCACAGCTTTTCTTTTTTACACTTTTTTGTATGGATTAAACAAACAAGATGTCACATGTTAACTATAGAGCTGTTAATAAGCCCGTTGGCTGTAGCTTTATCTTGACATGAAAAAATTTGGTACTGATTGTCTTGTCTAATTTTCGGAAAGAATATGAATAAGTGTATTTACCAAAATATCAAACTATTCTTTTTAATAATCCCTTAAGCTTAAGTCTGCGCTGTCATCACACTTGCATCGGCACAGGTGACTTTTGAACACGTCTTTCAATTTAGCACTTTTCCTGATAATATGATTTTTAATTTATACTTATAATTTTTAGTGCTACAGCTGTTATAGTTAGGTCTTCAATGTGTCTGAACAAGTGGCTTTATAAATGTATATCTTTACATAAAAACTAGCATTAGTCTACATGTTGTGACATACAGCTAGTTGACACAACATTGACTGTTTATTTATGGTGGTTTTGCTGTAACACTATGTTACTGTTTAGAGATTTTATTGAATTCTTTAGCAGGATACTTAAAGATAAAATGATTCAGTGCATTATAACACTAGCATAACGTGGTTGCCATTGTCTATAATACTTGGCAATCCCATAGCTAAACCTGTATGTAAACCAAGCTTGCCATGTGTGGGAAATATTACAATATCCAAGTAGTTTAAGTGCCTTTCTAGGTCTTCTTTTTACTTTAACACTACATCATCATCATTACGGTGGTCTCCATAAAAGCCAAAGACCTCGGGAAATGTTGCAATAGTCAGCAAGCATTCAGTAAATGCATGTTTCACCAAATTTCTGAAGGTAGCGGTTTAATATTATGCACTGATTTTCACATTAGCACTCAGTCTGTTAACTGCATCAAAGGGACTCTCAAAACAAACTTGAAGTTATTTTATTTGATGTGTATCCTTTGTTTTATTCTTATGTTTAATCCGGTGGTTCGCATTTGCATGAGTGTGTGTAGATAACTTTGCTCAGTGGTTTTTATAACTCAGATTCAGGTTCTTGAATGTTTGTGTGAACAAGTATTATATTATCTTTGTGGTGGTGGGATAATGGGTGGGCATATATGTGTGACTGGTATTAAAGAACGGGGTACTACTGATAGATTATGTTCACCTGTTTTTTTGTTTTTTTTTTTACAAATAATTTTTGAAAGCAATAAGCATTATGTATCCGTAAAGCCATTCTTATCGTAACAACAGTAGTGAAAATCTGTATTGTTTTGTGAAGCATGTAAACTGGGTGGATGAATTTTCCGTTATTACTCACTAACCAGTGATTATCCGACTTAAACATCTGTCAATACTTCAGTAACCTCAGCCGGGATTAATGCTACTGTAGCTGCTGTGTATAGTTTTACAGAATATCTCCAATAAACGACCTAACAGTTTCAACACCTCAGGTCAGAAACAGAGTATCAGGCTTGAGTTCATTCAATTTAAATTGAGAGCTGCCAGAGACTAGAGGTGTGATCAGAGAAGCTGTGCTCACTCACGTCCCCTCACAGCCATTGTGGTGTCCCCCAGGGTTCTTAGTTGGGGTCTGTGCAGTTTTGTTCATTTTGTTTATTTGCTTTTGGAAGTTTTTGGAATGTGTTTTATTTTGTTTAATTCAGACCTCAAACACTGGAATTGGTTACATTTTGTTAATTAAATGATAAATCATAAATATGTTATCCATTTCTTTATGCCTAGAAAGCCTATGAAAAATTGTCAATTGATCATGTTAGAAAACTGTATTAATTGTGTTTATAGATAATATCATATAGGTATTCATATTCTAATAAATTAGATTCTGGATATGTTTGAGCTGATTCTTTTCTCCTTTTTAGCAACCAACATTTTGCCTGCAGCTGAAGCTTTATTTTTATTTTTTTTATCGAAATAAGGAGGGAAATTAGTATCGCACAGTATGTCAGTTTTTTCAGAAATAGCATTTATCAAATGGATATCTTGGCTATGAGACTAGCTTGGAAGGAGCAGTAGACCTTTTAGCTTGCTTAGCCACCATACCTATCTCTGGAACACCAAAAATGACTCAATGTAGTCGGTCAATGTGTTGCTAGCTGGCTGAACTAATAAAACACTGGTGTCTAAACACACTAGACCTTTTGAAACACACAGAACCAGCTAGCTACCTAGCTGAAACTATAAAACTACACCCGCCAGTGCAGGAAGCATGTAGCGTTAATACTGCACTGGATACTGCTGTAGCATCACCGTATGGTTTCGTGTAACAGCAGCTGAAGCATATTACCAAAAGAGTTAACACTAACAAAGTTAGTCGCTAACTAGGCTAACACCACTTAGAAGTTTACAGATATAAATTCTTTCTTCATATCATTCATCGTCCAGTGCGTGTCTATTTTCTTAATTAAGGAAATAAGTCTACTTTTGTCAGTTCTCATCCAGAACCTGTCCAAATGAGCACAGAGGCTCTTTTATGTCTTGGGAGCTATATATGACAACTCTGGGTGAGAAGGACATTAGCTACTAATGAAGAGCAATGTCTAAATCGAAGTAGGAGCAGATTCAAAGACTGTAGACAAATTGTTTCTCTTTGACATTTAAGTGATGTAATCATCCGTAAAATGTGTAATGTGATGACACGGAGGCCCACAACATTGAATTTAGTGAATACCTACAGGACAGTGTACAGTGGCATTTAAATGGCCATTTTGCAGTTCAGTTGTCTCCAACCAAATGGTCATTGTCCCAACAGTTCTTAAGTCCCAGTGAGGCGTGTGTAATGTGTGCATGAGCCGTGAACATAAGCTATATGGTTACATGTTTTAAACATACACTAAACACACACCCATACACACACACATACACATCGTATTGCCCTCAGCAACCCCAGCCAACCTGGTCTAGACCAACCAAATCCTTTATTTGTTCACAGTCCCAACAGGGTCATGCCAGACTAAAGTGGAAGATGGGGATCAAATTAGCTTTTCATGTCACAGTTTTCTCAGTATTAGTTTGATTGATTGATCATCAAGTTACATTAACAGGGTTCCTATATGTTTTCATGTCACATGCCGCCAAAATAAGAACACTTAATAGAATGAAAGTACAATACTATTTAACTATGCTTTCATTAGAATATTAAATAACACTTGGTGAAATAAATAAAAAAATAAGGGACACTCTTAATTCCCTGAAGGACACCTCATGATTCAACACTTTGAACCCCCCCTTAAATACACAGAATATCACAAAACATACCCAATTATGGCTGATGCTTGATCTTGATGGAGGTACTCTATTTGAAGATAGTGAATTAGTACAGATACATTAAAAAAAACATACATTAATATGGTCTTGGAATAAATTCTACTTGTTTTATTGTTTTTTTTTTAACTGATATACAAACCAGTTTTTGTAATAAAATATATGAAAACAGACACACCCATATGTTTTAATGGGCCTGGAGTAAAATTTAATTTAATTTAATTTGTTTTCAGTTTATGCTTTGGGATAGTAACATTTAAGGAGCCTGCAGCAGCCTGGGTTAAATGTGCTCTTAATCTCTGGCAATGGTTGGTCAACTGGACTAATTAAATAAGTGGCCACCTGCTACTTTTACAGTCTATGGACATCTGGCTGAACAAAAGAAATAATTAGCCACATGCTTGATAAACATAAACTATGCTTGGAACAGTTTTGTCTCAGAAACAAGGCTGTTTACCTGTCTAGGATTGGAGTTAGTGGCTTGGCGTGTTCTGCTGCCATTTTGCAAAGCCTAGACAAGGATTAAGTCTAAGAGATGGAAGATACATTTATTATCGGATCACTAGTTATGGGTAGCAAGATCATTTTTTGATTTCTATCCATATGGGCCATATATCCTATATGACTCCATAATTAGGGCCAACCCTAACACCAGTTATGCTTTGCTTAGCTGATTTTTTGATGTAGTGTTTCAGCAAATATCCCACATATCTGACAAGCAACAATTTGTAGCTGTTGTGGTTGGTGATTGTTATCATTTAGGAAATGTCCAGTTGTCTGTACCCATAAAATAGCACATAAAACAATCCAATCAGCATTTTAAATACAAGTAGAATTTCTCACTGACTCTCTGATTGATAGTAAGAAATCAATATTGTCTTTTCTTTCACTATCAATGAAGGCATAATTAGATTTTTTAGACCTCAGCGAGTCATGTGGGTGGGTTGACAGTGGCAGGTGTCTGCAATGTTCCTCCATTTTCAGTTCCACAGCTGAACTTCCTGAACATGGAGGTATTGATTGGCCTATTGATTTTCAAATAAGCTCTCATTGTAGAAAGTAGAAATCCAATTAAAAGTTGAACTTGAAACAGTTAATCCACTCAAGACGATGAAATGTATCGATTTTACCCTTAAAATCAATAAGGTGCACGCGGCTCTCTCCCACGACCTCGGCCCTGAACATTTTCCTTTCACCAAAAGAATGAAGGGGCGCAATTAAGGTCAGCTGAGTAATGTGTCAGAAATGTTGTTTTATTATCTGTTAAACTATTTTTCTATTGAAACTATGTTAACCCTTGTGTGTTTTCTTGACTTTACTTCCTTGTTGTTTGGACCCTGCTGCTGTATGCTCTATGTGTAGTAATACTAATAGTAACTGCCAAATCAACCATTCTTTTCTTCAAACATACTTTTTCTCCTAACCTTATTAAAATCCAATGTGTATACAAGCACTAACACTTCCGTTTGGCACAAACAAACAAATACGGGTTTGCACATTTGATAAAGGTGACAAAATATGGAACTGTTATCACACCAAAATAAGGACATGTTTTATGAACTATGAACAAATATTTCATTCAATTGCAAAAAAAGTAATTAAATGACAAAGAAATGTCCAGTATTTTACTTATAACTTGTGTTTAGGGTCAATTAAACTACAGAGGCTCCCTGTTAGACATTTTATGAAGTATATAAAACTTATAAAACTCCAACAAGAGAGATTCAGATAGACTTATTTAGGATTTTTAAGGGGTAATGTTGTGTAAAAGTACTGCCAATACCAATCACAGATATCCATCCATTATATTTAACCATGTTTTATTCTCTGAGACAAAAGTAAAACATTATTTTCTGTAGCAGACCTTGAAACATCAGTTCACAATGAATTTTGAAAAAGCCATTAAGTATCAAGGTGATGAAACAATGTTAGGTATGTTTTCAGAGCTGTTAAAGAGGACCCAGGGTCATAAGCTACTTTTTGAAATGCTAATAATAATGCTAATAATGTGTTCATTAAGAAATAAAATGTAACAACATATAAAGTGTCCAGAAAGATGATGAAAATAATAATATAGACTTACTAAGTTTCCTTTCGATAATATAAGCCAAGGTGCTGAATGAGACCTTACATTTGTAGTCTTTCATCCCTGAAAGTCATATTCATTTGATTTTCTAAGCTGACATTTGCCTTTCACGATGACTGCTGAGTGTCTTATTGTTCTTTGTGTTTAAGAGCCAATTAAATTGGCCAGCTCCTAATTATGCTCCTAATTAGTGCTTCATCAAAGTCAGGTGCATTGAAAAGGTCAGCTGTGAACAGGTACTTATTAAAAGCAGCCTTACAGATACAGCATGTTGTCTATATTGCAGGTGACTAATTAGAGTGGTTAAGTCCTACTTCATTTCCACCATAATTTACATTTTTAGGCTATTTACAATTCATTTGAAATTGCATTTTGTGAGATTAAACCCAAAGTGCTAAAATATATGTTTGATAACTTATGACTTGGGTGTATATGTGCCGGAAACTACCATATATTCTACAATACAGTCATTTCCAAGCATTAGCCCTGTTTTTTCATCTATTTGTCGTAACTAATGCTAAGTTACTGTTGCTAAGTCCACCCACCATCCCTGTGGGGAAATCCAGCTGCCACCGAGCGGCCTCAGTGAGGAGGATTGGAATGTGGCAGGAGAGAAAAGGTCTTTTCAACTGGCATTCAGATAACATTTACATGGACACGCCAAGCGTCTTAATTCATGGATCAAAATACAGTTGTGTTCCAGTAAAGCCTCTGACACTGCGGGGAAACTGAATGCAACAGGTCACTCAATGACTACTTGATCTTCATGACTGCGTTATAGTTATGGGACCTGTCAAGATCTTGGTATTTTGACACGTCTTATTATTTTAAATGATCTTTAGCTCACTGCCACACCGTAATATCAAGCCCAGCAATTCCCAGCACTGACAGGTTCTTCCTCACACAAAAACAACGTTGATGAGGTTAAAACAGTCCAAAATGTCAGCACTGACTCACAGTCGGCTTACTTCTGACTCTGGCTGGGTTATATTACAAAAGGATGATGCCCCTGCTCTCAACCACACCCAAATTAAAATGTTTGGTGTGGGAAAATTCAATTTTTCAGATGATTACATTACATTTTTCCACAGAAAACTCTACTTCCTTAATGTTTAGTTTTTTCCTTTAAAGTCCATCAAATCTGTTTAGATGACCATATTTTTTGCAGCTTTTGCATCATATTTGTTTCCAACTTGTTGTAATTCGTCACAATGTCACTTTGTAATAGACCGGAGGGAGAGAGGGAGAAGGGGGAGGAGGTCGGTGTAGGGGGGGGGATGGTGAGGGTTGCAGGGTCATGGTTCTTGTAATTACCACAGTCAGGTTCAAGTCACTGGTCAAGTTGTTGCTTGATTTTTTTTTTCTTCTCTTCTCCCATAATGCAACGTTGTCACGGACTGGCCTACATGTGGCACAGCATGCCTCCACTGCTGCCCCTTTGATTAGGTGTCTCATCTTCCACCGGGCTGCGTCCGATGAGAGCCGGCAGCACAGTGATGGCTGGGAAACTGACAGAGAGGTCCATTAAATGGCAGCTTTGTTATGACATGTCAGCCAGGACGTGGTGGATGGTAAGTGGAGCTCTTTTGTCTTGACTTCTTCGTCTTAAATAACCCAAATTAAGAACATCACTATGAAGCAAAATCACGATTAAGAAGACAATGATTTCATGTAACACCCTGTCTAAAATGTCATGTTGCCACAATTGCAGACTTCTGAACTTGTTTGGGGAAATATGTCCGTAAAAATCTATGTCTAGCCTCCAACTGCAGCCCTGTTTTACCCACTCAAATATCATCTTAGCCTCTTAAATTCGAATTTTCTTGTGGTACTATCATTCTGTATTGCTTTTGGCAGTTGTGGTTTGTGTCTTTGTGATTGACCACATTTGCAGAAGTAAGGGATATTGTGGAAAATTCTGTTTGACTGAAGCACTTGACTCACATTTTCACATTCTCTAATTAGTTTGTCACTGTGCTAGGTGCTTTGAACTAAGGTTATTTTTTCCAGCTTTTATTTAAGACATCGGTTAAGAGCATCCTTGGCACAAGGATTCATTTCTGAATGAATGTGATCCTCAAGGCCAGCAGTTGTGAGTGTGTGCAATAAAACTGTTTTTAACCCAGTTATGTTTCAGTTTGAATGCAATGAATCAAGGATTTTGAAGACGAGGAGTGAACAATATGAGCTTTCAAAATGTTTTTTATTTATTGCAGAGATGAATAGCTAAAGGAACTATTTACCCTCCCTGCAGTGTAAGAGGGCTCCTGAAGTGCACCTCTCTGTGCACCCTCTGCAGTGTTAATTTGATAGTGTCGGACAAAGAGCCCTTGTACAACCCGCGCCTTTCCCATGCTGAAGAGGCAATGCAGGCTGACATTTCTTTCTGAATATTTATTTACTTGTCTGACTACAGGCAAGCTTTTATTGTGCTCCATCACCAGGGTTTAAGTTGAGGTTTGTTTGTCTGTCCTGATGAATCCAAGCAGAGAGAATTGACCCTTTCAGCTCAAAACATGCTCTGTGTTGTTCTGTGTTTTCCTGTTTTCAGTTATGTTAGTATATACGTGAATGAATTTTGTTTTAGTGATATTACTATACATCAAATGACCGTTTTGCTCTTCCTACTGCAACATTTTATTATTTATCTGATGCTGTTTTAAAGAAAAAATTAGCTTCAACTCTTCACATAAAGAAAGAGCCTTAGTGCTTGCAAGAACTCAGGAGGGATATTAAGCAGTTTCAGCAAGCGGGGACAGAACATGATGTGAAATATGTCATGGTCAGAAATAGCATTTAATTAAAAGTTTATATTAAAGGTTAGACTATTGAAGGATTTACCAGCTGACATGCTGTCTTGTCATGAAGAGTAACTTACAGCTGTTAGAAAAGGCCCATAGGAAATGGGGCAACTGGTAGGAAATGGCATTGGTAAAGTCTGATCACAAAGTGAAGTACCACTTCTCTTGACTTAACCACCTTAATGGACAAAGGCAACTATATTCATATATTTAGATTATTGTTTGCTGTGATAGCAGTAGCCTTGTAGTATTACTGTATATATGGTTATCTTTACATTGCAGCTTTATTGGATACCACATCAAAACATGTGACATTTTAAATCAAAAGCATATTTTGTACTCTGCTTTGGTTAATTAAGTTAAGCATATTGAAAATAATACTAGATTATAACCAGATGACACAGGTGATCACTACAGTAACAGCACTGGTATATCGCCACCTAATGGTATAAAAAAGACACTAGCATTGTGCCTTCTGGCTCATGTCTTACTGGGACACTTGAATGCACTTGAATTCATTGCTAATGTTATTAGTAACACCTGATATTTATTTTATCCAAGGGTGTTTGCATTTTCATTTTTGGCTAGGAAATGTAAAAGGAAATCTCTTTTTATTATATATATTGATATATTCTGATCACATTAGGATTGTGTCTGTTTCATTTAGCCTAATGGCACTGAAGCTGTTTCAGTGTTCTGTAAATAGACAAATGTCCTGTATGCTTATGTACAACTTGTGTTATAAATTGCTTAAATAAATAAAAATATATCCCTACCTTTTAAAATTAGAGCTACAGGATACACATGATCCCAGTTTTTCTCCAGTGGGTGCCAAACAAGCAACTAGCAATTGTGTTTGTGGCCACATGGGGGCGGTAGGTCCATATATAGAGGGATGAATCTGTGGACCCTCCTGCCATGTGCACCAGCAGACTGGCATGATATAATACTGGATACATAGAGGCAGAGAGAGAGTATGGAGCCAGAGTATGTCATAACGATGGAAAATGAGCAAAATCTAAAAACAAAGCATTTTTGGAAAAAATACTTTATAATATGAGTGTACAGCAAGGCATTGCAGAATTTATTGAGTGTGCTTGAAATTTCCATCTAGTGGTGGTGGTCTAAAGGAGTGTTTTAAAGCTTTATTCCAAGGATGCCACAGTGTGAATGAACACACCAACACTATCAGACTGAACTTGAAACAATCAGCAATTTATTGCCATTTCTACTACAACTGAATGCTCCCAGCTTAATTGTTTTTAGACGTGAATCACACCTGATCACCGGGTGTGTGATGTAGATACTGGACCCACATGACAACTCTGAATAGTGTGTTAATGTCATGATAACAATGATGAGTGAGCAGTAAAAATCTATTGTCAGACTACCCATTCAAGTCGTACAATCACATTGCCCTGCTGTGATTATGCTGGCATCCAGTGAATGATTAAACATTACATGGTTACCCTTTTTAAAACGGCATATGAGTCAACTGTTACTATTATAACACTGCTTACTGCTGTTGTAGCAGTGTTATTATTATTACACCACTGCTGTTCTTCTTAATGAGCACCATAGCACTGATGCATGAGAATACTATTATATTATGATTACTATGTGATATACTGCATAATAGTAGTGTGTGGAGGATGTAAATAGACATTGGTAGTGGTTTACTAATGCTGCTATTCCCATTGTAACTAATAATAATAATAATAGTAATGATAATAATGATAATGTCTTTTGAAGCAGTAATTACTGCAGTGTAGTGATTTCCACCATCAGTCATTGACCGCATCGCTATACAGTCCAACCGTCCAGCAGCAGCTCTGTTAAGTCCCGCACAGCACGTCAGAGGAGCGGAAGTGAGGGGCCCAGGGTAGAGAGTCCCGGGGCCACTGCTTCTGGCCAATGAGAGGCACGAATGAAAACACTAACCAAGCTGTGTCAAGCTGCAAAGATACAGCTGGATGGTCACCGGGAAATGGGGTGGTTTTGCTTCCAAAATAAGAGCCAGACTTTGTCACGTTTTCAGGTTACCTATGGGTTAGACTGAGTTATTACCGCCTTTAATTCACAGTATTATAGCTACTGTAAGCCTATAGTTTATTGTAGCTTTGTTAAGAGAGGATACTTAAGCTGTCCATTGGAGACATATTTTGTGATTTTAAGGTTTTCAGATCGACAAAAGGCTCTCTCTTTTATGTATACTTTAAGGTATTTATTTTATTTCATGAAAACTTTTTTTTTAGATACATGATTTACATTGGACAGTGGCATACTTTTATACTGATCCATTCAAAAATATGGAGGAATAGATGTGTCAATCTTATACTGATTAAACATAATTTCCACGTTAATTGGCTTTGTATGAATATTTCACATGAAAAGGCCAATTTGTTAAAAAAAAAAAAAAACCTGCACAAGCCGAGTCTGTAAATAAGTGTTTTATTTGGAAAAGTCGTACCGGAAATCGTCTTGGTCAAATTATATCCGACTTGACAGCTACTGCCGAGAGCCGGAGGGTGGCAGACAGTCAGACAGTGAAAGTGAAGGCGGAGACCAACCCAGTGCCGAAAACTCAGCCTCTTCTGGATCGCGTTCAACTTCACTGAACAACCCCAAAAAACC